ATAATCATATTCCATGCCCTTCCCCTTTTTAAAACATGAATTCAATTCAAAATTATTCAAAGTTATTAAACGTTCAATCAGAATTATTTAATCATCGTCAATATACTGTTTATATTATAGATTAGAAAATAATATCCATACATTCATATCGATCTATAATTGCCAACTAACCATTATTTCAAAAAGTACTACCACGTGCAAACAACCCACACTATAATTTGTATGTTAATGTATACTATAAACTATACGGTTGACTCTAATTTTTCCGCGACACTGTTAAGTTTACATTCCTGCAATGCGTTCGTGAGATCTGAGACTGATGCCTTCATTCCCATCCTACTCTTCCACAACGATAGTAGTTGATACTTCACCTCATCCGCCCCCTGTGGCGCGTAATCGTGGTCAATGTTCTCCATAGTTGGTTCAAGGTCATCTGCGTCTTCGAGTAGAATGCGTAGGAGATTCTTCATTTCAGAAATTGTTTTTATTTTCGAAGAAATCTTTCTAATTTCATGGGTTTTGAATTCTAGGAGAGATGAAACGTTTAAACTGGAGTGAAGTACGGATGGCAATTCATAAGTGACCTAATTATACAAAATGACATTTTTTAAATCAATGATGTATATTAAAATTAGTAGTAAAACAATATTTGAGACGACAGTCAACATTTTGTAGTGTTGGTACAGACTATACATGCGCATTTTGTGATAACGACGCGTTTTATAATAACCTACGCTAGGAGGGTTGATGCGCTCTGCAATAATATATATCTAATGCTTTTGCAAATACTTTAGTTTAATTAACTTTATAAAATCTACTTAATCTATCTTTAAAGGCGGAGTATAAATAATAAGATGGTTAATGAATAAAATAAATATGAATGGTAATAATATATATTCATTACATAATGTAACCATCATGAATATAATTATAATACACATAATATTCGTAACATGTGACTAGAAAAAGATGGTGCGAAAATTATTACAAAATACATCTACCCTCTATTACATTTTGCGTCAGTACTTTTTTATTACAAAACGCATCAAGGCTTATTACAAAACGCGTAAGTTAATACAGAACGCGCCTGAACACACGACGATGTACTTACCTAGGTCACTAGAAAGGGAACCAACACTTGATGACGATGTTATACGCTTAATTCTTGTCTACAAATAAATACAAAAACCACATAGTTCCTTGTTGTTTCAAAATATCGATGTAATGATTCAGTTCAGTTGCATGCCGTAAACAAATTGATCCGCAAACAAGACGCCTAATAACATACGTGACCGCCAATTAGCCATTTTCAATCAAAATCAGAAATACAATCACCAAATGTATAAAAACAATGCACCGTGTGTCACATTCAAGGGAGCTTAAAATTTGAATGGAAACTTCGAAAGGAGCGACGTGCACGTGTAAATTATATGACAAAATATACGACATATGACACAACAGTAAAAACACATACCTCACCACACTTCATGTTAAGCGGTACATGGTTAACATCTTCGTCTGAGGGTTGCTTCACAGAAAACAACACTTTAAAATTAGTTTTCCATTCGTCATCCGACGGTACAAATACAAACCGACGATGTGGGGAGACGCCATCCGAACAGTGGCGAACGATGTCCATTAGTTGCATCACCTGAATAAAGCGAGACGAGATCATCAACAAATCAACTCACATATGTATCACTAATAAAAACAAATGAGTATATAACAAAACGTTCTTGAAACATGAAAATCGAAGTACCTGGTTGCAAATTAAAATAAAATCATTCTTCTAGCTTATATTACTGCTTAAAGAATTCTCTAAAGTGGTAAACATTTCTTGTAGTTTCAGAAAAGAAACTTTTCCTCGGCGTGAAAAAAGGATGCATACTTATAAACATAGTTAATATTGTAATACCTGTTTAGCGGGATATGCACCACCATGGTCGTTCAATTTCCAGGAGGTCCATGGATCTTCCGCCCCACGATCACCAAGGCATGTTATTTCATACGGTTCTGCGTTATGTCTAGCATTGAGAGGAATATATTCGGACCTCTGATTTTTTCCCTCGTTGACCGCCAAACGTTCCAAATAATCTTTAGTTCGATAACAGATGTACACCTTAACCGCCAGTTCCTGTTTGTCAAATACTTGGTGATCTCCGAAAGCGACTGCCTCTAAATTCAGAGAAACGTCTTTGCCACAGGAGCATTTAAATGTTGTGAAGTGTTTTGTGTGCACGTTCACGTACTTCCCATCTAGAGTGCAATGCACTTCATTCACGATGTTATTGGCTTCTTTCTGACCGGTGTGAGTCATAGAGTTCCATGTCATACGATTTCCGGGCAGCGATTGGCTAAAATGAAGCTTGAACTTCAAATTAGAGCCTGTCATCTTCACGTGATGTGGTAGCCTGACTGTGACATGCTTCAGGAATCTGTCAAGTCCGGGAGCGAGGCATTCTACAACCGGTGTCATCGGAATGTGGCTCGTTTCCAAACTGCCTCTGAAAAAAGAGTGTGATAGGCTGACACGCACAACGACCTTCTGAATTATTCCTACGGGAATTGCCCCACGTGGTATTATAACATATACATCGGAATCTTCGTGAGATAAGACACCTCCGTCTTGGTCAAACTCGCCATCAAATACTATATCAAAAACTCCATCCAAACCATAGTTAGTTTTGCGAAGGCTAACGGGCGGAGCTCTTGTATCGGATGTAATGTATTCGTTAACGTTTGTGATTTTACTAGACTTGTCAAATTCTCCCGGTGACGCATGTATGTCTAGGGCATGCATTGAAGATTGATGACAGTGGATGTCTGTGGGAGATTCAAGGTTGTGTGGTCGATATTCCTCCCCCGATAGAGTTTGACTCTCGGGGTTGCGAGAGTCCATATTTTGACACATACCATCAGGCTTCGTTGTATTGTTCTTCGTCGTCGTGAATATTTTACCCTCACATGGGGGAATAATCTGTGTAAAAATTTAATCGTTATTAATTAAACAATTAGTTTGTTTTTGCATACTTTATTTATATGGGATTAATTGTTTTATCAAACACATCCAGATAAAAAAAATCGCTTTTTTTGTTTTAATAAGAATGTAACGATTACTTTTATGTTTCAAACAAATAAACAGATACTAGCATGGATGCATATTTACGCTTATAATCGTGTATTCCGATGATGTCAACTATAAAACAAATAATCGTTTGTCACAAGACCGTTATATATGGTACGTGTTTTAATAAAAAATAAATGTGTGTTAGATGTGTGTACATGCAAATCTATTTTCAGATCTGAGAGATGTGCCCAACTTACAGGAATTGCATTATCTCCAGCTTCCACGCTTCTGTTTGTACCTCTTTTTGAAAAATAAACACAGATATTTGTTACTTGTCGTACGAAGTATTTGAACTAATATAATACTGTTATACTGTATTTGTAAACAACCTTGCACAATTGATAAATTTGATTGTTTTTTGCTTTCTTTTTGTTTTTTTAGGATTACAAAAAAATACTGTTTTGGATTAATGGATTATACTGTTACATGACTGAAAGTGATATAGCAATATAATAAAATCCACCACATTACACTTCACTTACATGTTATCATATTTCTTCGAGCGTCTTAAGACTACAACGATAACAATTAAGTTATAGACAATAATGAGTATTAGACTTATGATGATAATAATGATCCAGTTGTATCTAGGTTCTTCTGTGCCTTGGGGAGGAGAGTTTACGTCGTCATTGTTGAAGCTGTCTTTATATTGCTCTCTTCTCACTGCTTCAGTTTTTTTTTCAAGAGGCAAGCTGACAGTAGTCATCATAAAAGTAGTTGACCTCAGTTCTAAGTTGGCAAAAAACACATAATAAGGACTAAAGCTTGAATGACAACTTATATTGTGTTTGATTGCCACACGTTGGTGTTGGGCAAACACAATGCGTACACAAAATGATGTTCAACACATAACTAACTAACCCATACATTGTGTTTGTTGGGCAGCGCATTAAACATATGTATATACGTTTTCCCACTGATGTTCAATCTACTAACACAATATCATTTTAAATTGGACAGCGTTTGACTTCAGGTTCAAGTCACCAACTCATAGCATATGTAAGGAAAATAAATAAACATAACCTAGCTGTATACCATGTGGGATAGTTTTGGGTGAAATGTATACAACAGAATTATTAAGGTAAAGATCACACAACACAAAATAAAAACTGCTTATATACGAAAGTGCCCAACATAAAGATGAATTTCATAACATAAATACGGAACTACATAATATATATATGAAGTGCCAAACATAAAGATGGAATTTCATAACATAAATACGGAAGTACATAACATGTATACGGGACGGCATAACATAATAACATAACAGGACCTCCTATCGAAATGACAAAACATCACATATAATTCTATAACCACAACTTGTTGTTGTAACGTCTCTTGTTACATTCCTTTACGCCACAGTTTTACAAGCGTTGTATATTTATTTAGGGACACTTAAAGTTACGCACTAACCTGTCACATATTCATCATCGGTTCTTGGATGTTGGTTTCGAAATTCCGTACACCAGATTCTTCGCTCGAAATAAAATGATGTTGTCGGGTTTTTTCTTCGTACAAACAGTGTCGAACCACAAATCACACTCCCATAGAACAATTTCCTCATTTAGGTCACATTCTGAGCAGGGGCGACATTCCGATCGACGGCTAAAGTACGACGAATATGTGCCATTAGGGCACGGTATGCACGTAGGTTGTACTTGACCTTCACAGGTACCCGTGGCGCCATATCCAGGAGGACATTTTGGCAAAGCACATTCAGCATGGGTACGGGTATAAGCCTACCAAGTTATAACATAAAGTACTTCATATAAAGCATTAATCTACAGTACACTAAAATATGGTCACGTATCATCACATAATAAATTAGTATATAATGTTCCTGAATGCGATTTGTTGAGCTAACCCCCAGCTCCCACAGTCAGCTGGCACACGCGTGATAATAAAATAAATGCGATATTTACTATATGGGGGCTGCCATCTTGAATGCAGCATAAAACTAAATAAGAGACACGCTGTGAAACGCGTTTTTCTAAGATTTCTACAAATCAGGACAAAAATGCCATACTTTCATAGAAATACGATCTGTTGGGGATATTAAGCCAACCGATACCAAAAATCGGCAGAATTCGTCGTTTTTGTGTGGAAAAACCCCTTAAATACGAACACCTAATTACATGAAGAACTTAGAACATTTTCCCGGAGTATTTGAAACCGAAATTGTACTATTTCACACAGGTGTGTGCGGAACTTGCTAGTTAAAAAGTGAGTCCAGTGCGTGAGGGGTCTATCGTTAACTTCCATCCATCAACATAAGGAGTGTGTGGGGATTACTTCGTCAACCAGTGTTATGTAGAGCTTGCATTTTTAGAACCAAATTAATTGGTGTTCACCGAGTAACGTTTTAATGGTAATTACCTGCACAACTGCGTTCGATCTTTCAAGAAGAAGTATAGCACAGATCAACAATCTCTGACTTACACGCATGTCTGAAAACGCCTGCAGTGATACAATGGACACAATATAAGTTATGGACTGTTGTGTTCAGAGTGTGAAACCCGTAACATTAGTGTCATCTCGCTCGACTCATACTCACAAAATACTGTTAATAAACTAGAACTGAAAACCACAACGGTCACTTCTTTGTGTCGTACTCAGTATTGTAAAATACAATGACAATGCGACGTTAAATAATAAACCTTATCTACTCACCCAGACTGGCAAAGTCGGGACTTCTTTTTACTTTTACAGAAAAAAAATTCAATTTAGCCCTTTTAGCGTGA